GGTTCTTACTCTGAAAGACAAATATTCAGTTTTTGGCTTACAAGAAACAGTTAGAGGTTTACAATGTTGTTGAAAAGTAAGCAGCTCAAGATCATAAAACACTAACAAGTATGCCTAAAAACACAACTACACTCACTGGCAGAAAAGTGGTAACAGCTTTTATGCAGAATTGTTCCATGTGAAAACAAATACACCGTTTTATACACACTACCTCTCTTGTAGTAACCAATTGAAAATCTGCCCTTGCTGATGCAAAATACAAGATTTCATTTTACAAATCAAATCAAGTTGGTGTCAACTGTGCAAATTGAATTCCAGCACTGACAGGTTCTAAGGAACATGTAAACTGTTGGTGTTTCACAACAGAATACATAATTATCCAGGAGAAAAAGTTCATTTTGTTTGTAAATATTGTCTCGAACACTTATCTGTTCATCCTCAMCACCAGGAACAAACAGCAACACATTCATGTTTGGAAAATGTTCCAAGGGGCTAATATTCAGATGATTTTAATAAGCTGCTCGCCTGCCTCCTGAGAAGCTGCAGGGTTTGAAAGATGGAGAGAGAGAGAGAGAGAGAAAAAAAAAATCTGAGTGAGATGAAGGGCTTGGTTCATCATTCATTGAGACCATCTAGTTCAGACAATATCTGCAATCTGCATAACAATGCAATTATAATCTGCTTGATTTTTTTCCCCCTCTGTAGTTTCCATCTCCAACATTCACAGCATTACCAAATCTACCAGTGATTATTTTGGCAAAGCTGTGCCATTTTAATCAGGTAGAGTGAATGATGACCTCAATGAAGAACAAAATCTACTTAAAGCATTGTTCATAAGATAAATGAACTGAAAATTWATGAGATAGCATCTTTGTACCGCACTGCCTTGGAGTGGAAATCATGTTACTTTTTACCTTTACGTGCACAGTTTGTGGGACTTTTTCTCAGCCCTTTGTTTGTTTGGTTGGCTGGTTTTTTTTTTGTATGTAGGAGGGTGCACATGTGACTAGAATGGTGAGGGACAAGACAAAATATTTATTGGAAAAAGAAAAAAAGTGAGGAAACTCAAACGTGGATAAGTTTAGCACATCTGGTTCACTCAAATCTGCTCAAAGTGGGAAAAGTGGGTCCTCTTATATTTGGATGTTTACACCCTGACTGCGGTGATTTTAGTGCAAAAGTATAGGCTCCATTACAACCATTAAGCAAACCCCTGAGAATATCTTTGCCACATTTAGGGCTCATATCAACATGTAAACAATGTTGCTGAAATATTAAATTAGCTGCTGCCCTGTAAAGGGGTTCTATGCAAAAWTGTCTTTTTTGAGCTGCCCAGGGTGGACCARCCCCTCGCACAGTGACTGCTGGATATGGGCACCAGTGAATCCCATGACCCTGAAAGTAAGAAGTGAGTAGAGGATGGATGGATGGATGGATGGATGGATGGATGGATGAATGGATGGATGGATGGATGGATGGATGGATGGATTGTCAAGATTCTACCATGTCATGCTGCATTTATCAAGTCAAGTCTAGTTTATTCATCCCAGTATTCTTGTTTTCAATCTGCTCATTGTTTCACCCCTCCCATCACAGAAATCCCAATCTAGATCATGTCATGCACCTGTTCCCCTCAGTATATGTTCCCTCAGTCACCACCAGTCCAGCGCCAGATTTATGAATGGTTTTCCTAGTAGTTTTTCAAGCGATCCCATGTCTTGTCTTGCCTGCCACGTTACGACCTTGTTTATGTCCTCTGGTTCCACGTCTCCT